TATTTATTTATTTTTGCTGTGTTGGGTCTTCGTTTCTGTGCGAGGGCTTTCTCTAGTTGTGGCGAGCGGGGGCCACTCTTCATCACGATGCGCGGGCCTCTCACTGTCGCGGGCCTCTCTTGTTACGGAGCACAGGCTCCAGACGCACAGGCTCAGTAGTTGTGGCTCACGGGCCTAGTTGCTCCGCGGCATGTGGGATCCTCCCAGACCAGGGCTCGAACCTGTGTCCCCTGCATTAGCAGGCGGATTCTCAGCCACTGCGCCACCAGGGAAGCCCCCCTTCTGGTTTTTAATATGCAAATTATCAACTCAAGAATATTAGTTTAGAAATGTTCTGATTCACTCATATAATCATTTACAGTACATATCTATTATGAAACAGGTGTTACAGTGTTTTTTATTGGCCAGGTCGTGCGGCTTTCAGGATCTTAGTTCCCCAACCAAGGACAGAACCTGGGCCCTTGGCAGTGAAAGCATGGAGTGCTAACCACTGGACTGCCAACGAATTCCCAAGCAGGCGTGACAACTTGAAGACCAAAAAAAGGTTGCAAAAAAATATCCAAATAGGGAATTCCCTGACAGTTCAGTGGTTAGGACTCGATGCTTCCACTACAGGGGGCACAGGTTCGATCCCTGGTCGGGGAACTAAGATCCCACATGCCACGCAGCCAAAAAAAAAAAAATCTAAACAGCTTACTATTATTTTCTCAACAAAATAAATGGTTTTGTAGAAAATGTCAAGTACACATCTACTGTACCTGTTCACACACCTGTATGACGATGGTTGCTACGGCTCCAGTGAGGTACAGTGAGAGACAGTCACAGGCTGTCGCTGTCCATTTGTCATTCCCACCAGCTGGTCTAAAACAAAAAATGACAACTTGTTTTATAATAGCATAGGATATAGAAACATAAAAGAACCATCATATAAATATATATTTCAACCAACTACATATGTAGTGAGAAGTCAATTTAAACATGGCTTTGTATTATTCTCACAGTTTGCTTCCCCATTTTCATAGCCTTTTATTCATCCCTCTATTCTAGCTATGGCCCAAATTACATGCTAAGTTATTTATGTACTTCTGTTCTGAAGCTACACTGAGAACTCTTAAAAAAGTAGATGTGTTTTAACTTTTTTAAAGCTATTATATACATTTCATAGATGCTAACTACACTATAAACTCAGAGAGCAGGGATAATGTATTGTGTGTTATGTGTACACACATTTGATTCTTGAACAGTGTGGGGGTTAGGGGTGCTGACCCCCCGTGCAGTCAGAAACCTGTGTGTAACTTCACAATTGGCCCTGCATATCTGTAGTTCTGCATCCAGATACAACCAACCATGGACATGTAGTGCCATAGTATGTATTTACCACTTACATATAAGAGGACCCGTGCAGTTCAAACCTGAGTTAAGGGTCATTTGTATATTATGTGTTGTATGTGTTACGTCCATCACATCTCCAATGCCTAGGATAGTGCCCAGCTCACAGAAGGCATGCCAAAAATATTTAATGGAAATACAAACAGTCCCTTTGTAATGATGATTTCTCTGCCCAAATATTTTTGGAAGATTTTTTCTAGAATTTAAAGCTAATTTGAATTACTACCCATGAATATTAGCATCAATTATTTTTAGAAAATTTATTTTTAATAATCATGGTAAAAAGTGTTCAATAAATATTTGACAGATCAATGAAGAGCAGAGTATCAACTTCATCATCTATTTTAGTTTGCAAAGTTGAAACTGAGTGACTTTAGATGTTTCTAACCATCAAATCCACCCCCAAAGAATAAAGAACTAGTACCACTAAAGAGATTACAAGTAAATACTACAGGCTCTGAAGGCTCTCTAGAAAAGGCTTCTAGATGTGGAGTTTCATTAGCGCTGCCCCATCCTCTGAGTAAATAAGCAACGTGGCCAATCTTTTCACACTGAATGGTTTATGTGAGTGAACTAAAGATATCAACTGTGGGGCTTCCCTGGTGGCACAGTGGTTGAGAGTCTGCCTGCCGATGCAGGGGACACGGGGTCGTGCCCTGGGCCGGGAGGATCCCACATGCCGCCACGAGCCATGGCTGCTGCGCCTGTGCTCTGCAACGGGAGAGGCCACAACAGTGAGAGGCCTGCGTACCGCCAAAAAAAAAAAAAAGAAATCAACTGTGTATGTCGTTTGACCAAATAGGATTTAGTAAAACTATTTATTAAGAAGCCCAAACAGTGTTCCTATGAGCTAAGAAGCTTACATTATCAGTGATGCCTTGAATTAGTTATCGTTTTTTATGATGGTATACAGATAATATCAGCATACATACACCATTAAGGTTTTCCTATGATTTATTAAGAATACACACTTTAAAATATTAACTTTTGAACATCTGAAAGTATTTACAACATTTCAAAAAATCTATGGCATGTATCCATAAAACTTTGTGTTTCAGTTGAGAAAGATAAAAAAGTTCTGGAGATGGACAGTGGTAAAGGTTCCATTACTTAAAGTCATGGAACTGTACACTTAAAAATGATAAATTTTATGTTAATGTATATTTTACCACAATAAAAAGAAATCTATAAAAAAGATTTCTCAGAAGGGTAGTAGAGCATAGTGGTTAGAACTCCGGTTCCAGAATCAGAACTTTCGTGATCCTAGTTCAACAGTTTGATGTATTACTCTGGATTATAAAATATTTAACCTCTTGAAGACTCAATTTCCTTATCTTTAAATAATACTTTTTATCTATAGCTTAGAGGTCTGCTGTGATGATTAAGTAAAATAATGCCTGTTAAGGCAATTAATACAGGGTCTAGACATGCTTAAGGTTAGCTATTATTAGACTCCTGAAACAGTGGTATTCCATTACAGTCCATAAGACATAATTCAAGGTGTCAATAGGAATGCATTCTCTACAAGAGGGGTCCCCAGCCCCCAGGGTGCAGACTGGTCCGCAGTCTGTCAGGAACCAGGCTGCACAGCAGGAGGTGAGTGGCGGGCGAGCAAGCAAAGTGTCACCTGTCGCTGCCCATCGCTCGTCTTACCACCTGAACCATCGCTCGCATTACCACCTGAAATATACCCCCCCACACGCCCCATCCATGGAAAAATTGTCTTCCATGAAACTGGTCCCTGGTGCCAAAAAGGCTGGGGACTGCTGCTCTACAATATTGGGTACAATTAAGGGACTGATAGAATTCTGTTCTATCAATGAACAGAGCCTCCACAACAAAGGGAAATGGACAGCATCAAGATAGGGAGGAGAGACAGAGACACATTCTTGCCAAGGAAAGACCCACGCCCCAGCTGCAGTGATCCAGAATCAGGAGGGACCACAAAGGAGGGAGAGATCTGAGCACTACACGAGGCATGCCAACTGATACTGAGCAGGGCCCTGTAGGGCTCCTGGGCACAAAAACTTTGTGTCCCCCATTTTTTTGAGTATAGGAAATACCCTTCACTTGGCATCACGACCTCTAAATCTTGTACAGGACAGAGTCCCCAGAATACTTGGCTTTGAAAACCAAAAGGAAATATGACCAGGAAAACTACAGAACTGCAGAGAACATGATGCTGAAAGCTCAGCTTCTCTGTACACTGGTGCTGAACTGAATCTTGGAGACAGAGTTTTGGGTGAAGAAGAAAGGGATAGCTTTACTACTTTGCCAAGCAAAGAGGGAAACAGAGGGCTACTGCCTCGAAAAACTATGTGTTCCAACTTGGAGAGGATAGTGAGAAGTTTTACAGTAATGGTTCAGGGCTTTCCTGATGGTGCAGTGGTTAAGAATCCACCTGCCAATGCATGGGACACAGGTTCGAGCCCTGGTCCAGGAAGATCCCACATGCAGTGGAGCAACTAAGCCCGTGCGCCACAACTACTAAGCCTGCATTCTAGCACCTGCGAGCCACAACTACTGAGCTCGTGTGCCACAACTACTGAAGCTCACACACCTAGAGCCTGTGCTCCACAACAAGAGAAGCCACAATGAGAAGTCTGTGCACTGCAACGAAGAGTAGCCCCTGCCCGCCACAACTAGAGAAAAGCTGACATGCAGCAACGAAGACCTGACGCAGCCAAAAAAAAAAAAAAAATCGTTCAAAGAGGGCGTGATCACATGGACATTCTTCTGATGGGTTGGTAGAGACATATGCCAGCGTCAGCATCATCAACCTTCATTGGTTCCAACTGGTCTGGGGTCTACAGGCTTGTGGGCAGCATACTATCATTAATCGTTAACTTCTCCCACCTGGAGAGGGTTTCAGTATCTCCAAAACAGCTCAAAGATATTGTTGTTTACCCACTGATGGGGAACCAGGACCCTCCCCAAGGCTGCACTACTGTTTCTCTTGACTGTTCTTCCCTGGTCTCGCATCCCCTCCCTTCCCTAATTAACAATTGCTTGAATCTGCCCACTGGAACTCAGGTCATGGAGGCTGAATGAAAGCTACTTCCTGTAATCAAAGAAATGGGGGACACAGAAAGTCTTTGTGCCTGGGAGCCCCAGAGGGCCCTGCTTAGTAGTAAACAGAAAAACCTGCCCTTAAAGGGCCTGTGCCCAAACTCACTCAACCTAAAAACAAGTGCAAAAACACCAGATTGAAAAGGGCATGGGTCACACACACAGAGGACCCAGTTACTAAATCTTAACGTGTCTGCTGGAGAGGGAGAAACCAGCTGGGATGCCCCCTAGGGACTGAGACACTAGCAGGAGCCTTTTTTGTGATCTCAGGCTACCTTGCTATTACTAGCACTGAAATTCTTCCTCTAACCTGTTAGCACTAACGGGTCTGCCCTGCTGAGAGCCCTGCCCACCCGAGCCTCACAGCCATGCGAGCAACAGCCCTGCCCACCAGCACCCCACAGCAGCCACTGCCCTGCCACGAGAGGAGGGCACACAGAGCCCACAGAGGGGACACCTCTTGAGTGCCAGGCTGTGGCAGCCAGGCAGGATTGTACCCCTGAGTCCCACTGAGCATCTCCTAACTAAGGCCACTCTTTCAAGACTGGAAGAGATAGCTGATTTATCTAATACATACGAGCAAACAGAGAATTAGGCAAAAAGAGGAGACAACCAAAAAAAGATTAAAACCTCAGAAAAAGAACTAAACAAAACAGAGATAAGCAATGGACCTGGTAAAGACTGAAACGTAATCATCATAAAGATGCTCACCAAACGCAGAAGAATGGATGAACACCATGAGAACTTCAACAAAGAGACAGAAAATATAAGAAAGAACCAAATAGAAGCTGTAACTGAATGAAAAATGCACTAGAGGGGTTCAACCGCAGACAGGATGAAGACAAAGAGCGAATCAGCAGGCAGAAGACAAAGCAGTGGAACTCACCCAGACAGAGCAGCATAATGGAAAAAAAAAAAAAAGTGAAGAAAAGAAACTTTGGAGATAACAAGTGGAATAAACATTTGCATTATAGGAGTCCCCGAGATGAAAACAATGAAGAGAGAAAGAAAGGACCAGAAAAATTATTTGAAGAAATAGTGGCTAAAACTTCCCTAATCTGAGGAAGGAAACAGACACCCAGGTCCAGGAAGCTCAAGAGAGTTCTAATAAGATGAACCCAAAGGATCACATCAAGACATACTATAATTAAAATGATAAAAGTTAAGGATAAAGAGAAAATCCTAAAAGCAGCAAGAGAAAAACAACTTGTTATGTACACGGGAATCCCCATGAGGCAATGAGCAAATTTTTCAACAGCAACTTTAAAGGCCAGAAGGGAGTGGCATGACTATTCAAAGTGCTGAAAGAAAAGAACTTCCAACTAAGAATTCTCCACCCAGCAATGTTTTCATTCAGAATTGAAGGAGAGATTAGGAGTTTCCCAGATAAGCAAAAGTTAAAG